AATATAGCCCGTATTTGTTCAAGCAGTCGTATCAGTCTTTCAAGTGGGGAAAAGGGATGATAGCTGGAGCGTGGGAGTAGAGAGCTCTCGGCCATTTCTCCAACACTGGTGTTAGCCCACGTGAGACACTATTTTCATTTACGTTAGTGTTCCACATCTCTTTTTTTTACCAGCTGCATTGCAAGAAATGGGATTTTAAGCATTTTCAATAGCTAATTTAATCGAAGCTTTACCTAAAATTGATGTTAACACCAGTTACTGTATTATGTACTTGGATTCTCTTCAGGCATATGTTTTTGCACAGGCCAACCAACAACTCTTCTAGAGATGATCAACCAGGGGAATTATGTTTTAACTCCATCCCTACTGTTGAAAGTTCGTTGTAGCCATGGACATTGATTTTCTCCTGCTCATGGATCCATATTACTCTCAGGTGAGTGCGCAAAAGTTAGTCGTTTTGAATTAAACTTTTCGGATGTCCTCTTTGTAAGTTTAAAGTCGTATTCCTTCCTCATTTTCTCAAGTAGGTGGTGGATGCTGATAAATTTTTCTTTACGTAACTCTTGGACGTAGATTGGTTATCACCCACATGCAGGCTCGTCTGCACCCGTTGAAGTCAACATCAATGAAAGCTCTCGTAAAAAGCACGATGTAATCCGGCGGTACTAAAGGTGTTCATCGTCAACTGTGAAATAACACTCGCAAATGGTGGTCATCAACATGGTAGGTGATTCACCAAACACGGGTGGGAACGATTTATATTCATGTTCAACACCACATTAGGGCGCAACTGGAGTAAGCAGCAACTGAGAAACAAATAGGACTCCATGAGGCGAGACCACTAACGGGTGAAGGAGTTGCTTAATTGCACTAGGGTCAAGTTCAATTCAACAAACGGATACATTTGCATTGACAATGAATGGTGGTGTCCGAAAATCAAGGTCACTCTTTGCCTCTGTCACTTGCACTCTGCGTGTTTTTAGTTAGGCAATTGCCTCGATTTTTGTTCCATTTTCATGTATCTAAACTTAAAATGTAACTTCACATTAGGTTGAGATGTTATTTGCACACAATGTGTTTTCTTTTTCTTCCTGTTATGCTTCGTCTAGTATAAAAAAAAAAGCGATAATTAGCATGGTACACGATTGTTTATAAATTTTGAATGTGATTGCTTGTGTTGTTGAATCTGGTTTTCCAAATAGTTGCCACTTAGGAGTTCCCGTTTACTCAGGTATAACGTTAATGATAAAAATGCATTCAGTTGTTGACCAATTTCAATTTGCTGGAAAATATGATGAAGTCGTTCTTTTCATGGCTACAAATGTGCTTTACCTTGCAGTATATGTGTTAGCAAGATGTATGTTCTTTTGTTTGTAATGCTTTCTGTTTAGCGCGTTTACTCGCTAACAATTAAAAAGGGATCAGACGATTGTGTAACGGACAAACCTCTTGGAACAAAGTCCCAAAAAGTGGTGTTTATTGAATATGAAGATTACAGTTTGGACGCGAACAAGATGCCTCCAAGGGGTGCAGCACACAAGTACGAGGGAATTGAAATAATTGAAGTTAATCTAAAAAAAAGTAAATTACATATTTCTCTATTTGAGAGTAAATTTTGTCGGGGCCTCTTCGTTGTCTTCTTCTTTCTTTTATACGGTTTGGGCAGTTTTTAATCGTTTAGAAACTGCTTGTAACTACCCATTTCTTTCATAATGGTCGCCTAAACCCTAACTACCGTGTGTAATTCCTATCACCACGTCCTCTTTATAACTACTTGCCACCAACTCT